TCCCTTTCCATCGTGAAGAACTATGCAAAGGGATGCAAACACGCCGACGGTGTTGCTAACGCGATGAAAATGAGGCCGAGAGCTAAGTGTTCCTCTTTTCTTTTACCTACCAACCTGCCAGATGTACACCTTGTTACTATAATCTTGCTGCCTGCCGTACTGCAGGAAACAATAAGAAACCACGATTCTGCTGCCAGAATCTGGCGACCAAGAGATGTCGGTCACCGGTCTTTTCGAAGTTTCTGGATCCGCATATACATTCACGGTTCTAAACATCAGAACATGAAAAGTTAAGTTAAATTAAATGCAGTTTAAGGTGCATTCCGCTACCTGAGACCAACAGGTTGCACCAATTGTGTTGGTGTCATATCGTCGAAGTAGTGTTGGTAAATGTTTACCGCGCCATTCTGGAGGATACTGTGCTCCATCATCTGCAACAGAGAAAATTGTATTAATTCAAGATTCATTAGGAAATATAATTATTAAACGTGAAGCTTAATAAAAATTAAATAAGTTTTCAAAAATATTTTAGTTCAATGATTTAATATTTAATTATTGCTAATAATGCGACAATAATTCTAAATTTTTATTTTACTGTTATTGTATATTTATTTCTAATTAGAAGTTGCAAACAAGTGTCGAACCCAAATGAAATTTTTAATGTTACGTCTGTGTAGGCGTTTAGTGGAGGGGGAGAAGGTTTCGTCTCCCCGGACGCCTTTGGTTCGGGCCGGGGACCGCTAGGTGGCGGCGAGATGAGAGTGTTCTCGCTAGCGGTCGCTCGGCAAGCAGTTTGAAAATGTAGGAGTTCCGAATTGCGGTATGATAGGTGTCTGGGGCAGGGATAGTCTGTTGTCAGCCCCACTGACGAGTCTGACAGACGATCCCAAGACGAAATGTCCCTTTTTCTCCCTTCTCCTATATCTGATGGTTCGAATAATTTCAAATGACCTTAGATGTCGATCTAACGAGATAACATACTTTCTGGCTGTCAATTTTTCTACCCATCTCCATTTTTCCAACTAAAAATAGATTGGAAAGTTCGGTAAACTGTCAGGTTGCAGATATACGTCTTCGAAGTCAGAAAGTCCAAGTGTCTGTGCTCTCAACTATCGAGGCTCAAGCTCAATCGATCAACCGGGGGTAACTTACCTCGAACAACTTACGTAATTTCGGTGCCCAGTTGTCGTCCTTTTCGACTCTCCTTCGAAACCTGCTGGTAGTTTCCTCGTCCCTGGGATTGATCTCCTTCGGCCAACCACCCTCGAAATGAAACATTCCACTGTTTTTCGTCGTCTTGCCAAGGGTTTGCAACTAGAATTTACAAGTAGCAACACCGTCAGGATTCTACGAAAAATCCAACAAGACTTGCGAAAGCTTTCCAGCCGAATCACGCGAATAATTTATGGTGCTACCGTTTAAAGGAGTTCGCCCTATAAACGATTGCGATTTCCTGGAAGAGGTCGGTTTTCATGTTCGGATGAATATTCTATGATCGTCGTATTGTAATTGTTAATTGAGTTAATTATCTACTACACATTTGTGTGATGGATTAATTAATATGCATGATACGAGATAATAATTGACACATGTTGTATGCAATGATTATGTGTAGCTTGATAGGAAACCTCGATGATGTCCATTATTGATTTTTATTTGTTGCCATTTGATTTATTACCATTGTATTATTTTAACACTGAAACGAAGAAATCCTTCAAAATGATGGATTTGAAATTATAGAAATTATTAGCATGAAATATTAAAAAAGAAAATTTAATTTGTAGTGTTAAGTGCAAACCAGAAATTTGGTATTTTATCTGAAAATTAAATACGAGAGCATAAAGTTTACATGTTATTATTTCACGAGGAAAAGAAATCCTGTATCGAACTGGAAACAAAGGGAGGCTTTTCGCGTATGATGTCGATTCGCCATCAAGTGTAAATGCAAATGCAGTGAATGCATAGAGGCAACCTTACCTCGTGCAGTCCAAGCTGCTTCGAGTATTGCGATCCGACGTGGCAATGAGACCTTAAGATGTAATCGTTCATATCGACTAGATTCGGAAAGATTTCCACGTCCATTGTTGGACCAATTAAGTCAAACATGCATTGTTTGCCAAAATCGGCGCGTGTTTTTACGTACACCTTCTGGATCTCCATTGTGATTCTCTAATCACGCCTAAGAAACAAACAAAACAAATATAATATGTTAGAAATACTCTGATCCTTATTTTTACTTTGGTTATTAAATAACGATTCATTATCTTATTATATCATATTTTATACTATTTACTCCTATTTTTATTATTATAATTAATGAAATGTTGAGTATTAATGAGATAATTAATTTTTTGGTTGATAGAACACAGATGCATGAAGAATTTCCAAATGGAAAATGCAAAAGGGTGCATAATGCATTATGCATAAAAGTGCATAATGCATGTTGCACAAATTATCATCGAAAAAAGAATAAATCTACATCCATCACAAGTATATTTAACCAAAAATAATTTATTCGCCTAACCTTGATTAAAAAATCCTTCGACAATCAATCGTTAAACGTATATCCTCGAAATTTCAGGATCAAGGATCCTCGGTGTTTTCAGCTCCGAGGAAGTTTATCAAAAGACTGACAGAGGGTACTGAAAAATTCATGAACCCACGATTGGTGAATAAAATTGCCAGCCAAAAAGATATTTGCGTTGTTTCAATAAAAATACGAGAGAATTCGTGAGAAGAAGGATCTTATATCTGACGTTCGTCCTTTTCCCGAGGTGGAGGATCGTACGCGCGTGTGAATCGAGCATAAATCAAACATAGCTACGTTTGGGCTCTCGATCGAACTTATCTATCGAAAATCAAACGTGGCTGTCTTTGACTTTGACCAGCTTCAAGCTAACCCACGAAGATTTCTTGTGGACCCTCGAGTCGATTGCTCGAACGTCGATATTTCAATAGCTCGGAGGTGAAGCACGCTCGGGATTCATTGGTGAAACTTCATTGTGAAAAGGAACGTCGAGCGGTTTTCCCGTTGGTGAACCGATGATCGAAACCGAAGTTCGTTTCAGGGTATTCGTTACAAATCACTCGTTCCTTTTAATGGCTCTCGCGTTAATTAACACTTTGATGGATGACAGTTGTGACTTTAATACCACGATCATTCTTTATTCGATTTGTCAAAATGTCTATAAAGCTTTTCTTTTTTCGTTTTGAAAAACCCGAAAAAATTTTGAAAATGTTTTTTGTTTTTAAAAGATGATTATATCTATTTGTCAAGAAGCTGTTTATTGGAAATTATTCTGGAAGTAATAATTGAACATTCAATCACTGACTACATTAATGATTATTTAATTAAGCAGTATTATATTATATCGAATAAACATTCAACGAGATTCTTCTTTGTTCTCGGCTTTGCATTCTAGAGTAGCTAATTAATTCGTGTCAAAGTTTTAAAAGCACTTTCTACTACTGTAAATGGCTGCCTTTTAATTGGAGCTTTTTCCATTATTATTGATTAACTGATCCGTTAAATGGATGGAGAAAAAACTTTCTTAATGCAAACGTAGAATTCATATATCTTCATTAATTATACAGAGAAGACATATGAAATTGATGAATTTACTATTTTTACTTCAAAATATATCTTACGTTTATAAAATAATTTGTTTAATAATATTTGATCTGTTAATAGGAATCTAAAACTCCGTGTAGTTTCTGTGTACTAAAACAGTTCAAATATCCTAACTTATCTTTGATGTTTGTTTGTTAATAATTTATCTCCTGAAGCGTTGAAAGTTGAAATCGCGGTACTCAGCAATCCTGTAAACCTGACCCGATCGACGGGAAAATGGAAGAAAAACGACTGACAGAAGATTGCAATCAAGGCTTCTCAATTCTTTTCTAATGCCTGGTTCATCAAGAACCGCTGATGCAATCATTCTGCCTTAACGAATCGATCGTTTCGCATTATTGAGCTTCGTTGCTTGCGCGTACAGTACTTGCATTCGCGTCACGCTTCGAATGGGAAAATACTTTCCTTTATAACTTGATACCTGGAAAATTTGTAACAGGGAATGGTGAAGGTTTCGCTATAACAACATCGTGCCATTTGATAATAGAATAGTTTGATAAATTTTAAAACGTGAATTGTTTTAATAAATTCTTCTCTTGAAAGTAATAAACATCTTTTTTAAAACTGCATTAAAATTTTTCTTTTAAAAAAAAAAAATAAAAATTTCATCTTTTAAAAAGAGCTCTGATAATTGTAGAAGAGATTGTTTGAAAAATTGATAAAAATTTCGAGGACCACAATTCTAGAAATATCATTTTTATAGGTTGACCGACTGTTACTATGCTATAAATCATAACACTGGTCAATTCGCGTAACAATCCTCCACAGTTTCGGGTTTATTTTTGCCAATATTGCGAGAATTGCTGGGTTTCAGCGTCGAGAGAGGCAGAGCAGTACAAAAGGCTGCCAGTAATTGCCTTCGACCGAAAATCGAGAAACTGACGTTACATACATGTTTAATTTGTTGCAATATACACGGGATGATTTACAAAACCATGTTTACAGTTGATTGTTTTAATACAAACATCACATAGCTGAAAATACAAAAAGGTAGAGATCTAAAAATCTGCTGTACGGTTCTATTTATCAATTTATCGAATGGCTTTTAATTCTCAAGAAGAAAAAAAAGAAATAATTAAAGATAATTGGTACTGGAAGGACTTTATTCTTAATTTCTATCTATTATATTATAATTTATTTATAGCCAATTTTGCAAGATAAATTATAAAAGCTTTGAATTTTAATTTTATAAAACATATTCTTTTGAATACACAAAGAAGCATAAAGTTCATCATAATTCTATGGTCGAGCAGTCGATATTTCCAAAATTTCCAGCTAAAAAATTCATCTCTTGAAATAGAAAAATATAACTAAATTCGACACACGAGAGAACAGAGCCAAATATGAACATGTTCAAACAAATTTTCCAGCATGGTTATCCAAATGGCAAGCTGAAGAAATATAAAGTAAAAGAAAAATTCAAATACTGTGGTATCTAAATAAAATTTACCAAGATCCACCGAGCTAATTATTCAAATGGAATCCTTTTGATCCTTAAATCGATCAATTGTTAAACATTCCTTACAATCTTTTATCATTTCGTTACCTCTTTTCTCAGCATTCCTATCGATCCTCTTTCCGTTTACCTTTAATGCAACTACACGATGACCTCTGAACTCGAAAACCCTGATAAACCGTAGAACTATCTTTCTCTATTTCCTTCATCAGCTAATGCACGCGTACATGTCCGGTTTGTCGGCTTCCGAGTTGTTTGGTCGAGCTCACGTTAAAACAGAGAGAAAAAATAGGATTGCGATTGTTCCAAGCCCCGGATCTTTTTCCCTCCGACCGGATAAGCCGGCAAAATTGGAATCCGAATAACAGATAGATAGATAGATAGATAGAGATAGGAAGATCGTGAGTTTTGGTTTTTTTTCCACGAGACTACAGCGTGCTTGTTTACAACATGATAACAGAGGCCAACGAACACAACTCGATATCTGAAACATTCCCGTGAATTGGAAGTATTGTGTCAAGTAATGATTCCACCTGTTCATTAGCGCGAGAGTCATTGATTGAGATCGTGCCGCGCTTCGATCAGTTTTTCCTGCACAATGGAAACGCGTTCGATAGGTAGTAATTGTTTGCCAACTATAGCTGATGAATCTAAACGATTCGAAACATGAATTTACAGAAGAGCAAGATTCTAATATTAACCCCTTCAATTCGTCCGATTCAATTTCTTAACCGATTTAAGTGGATATTAATTAGCAGAGCTTGATTAGAAAAATGTTAAGTACACACATTTTTGTTATAAAATTACAAAATAATTACATTCATCTATTATCAATAATTCATCATTAAATCCTAGAAAATTTATCAATAAACACTTCGTAAGGTTGTTATAATTGTCGTAGAAATATGGATAAAAAGAGACGATTAATTCGATGTTCCATGATCAAGTTAAGTTTCACGAGACTCATGAGAAATTCAGAGCATGAGCCCTGTTGGAGAATCTTCAATGGGAAAGGTGTCATTAATCAGCAAAGCGAACGAAGTGGCCCAATTGTCCGTGATAACCGATTCGAGAATATCCCGGTCCAAATGGCGCTTAGGCTTTCATCCGGAAACTACAAATTATCCGGCCACTTTGCATCGTTGCATAAACGTTATTCCCAAAAGCGTGCATTAATTATCCTCGAAATCATCGTCTTGGTGGTCGATCAAGATATTCTTCTGATCGATTTCTCTTCCTTTCTAAAAATGATATTCGATCCCTATCAGTCATTTGAGAACACTGTACGATTCTTAAAAATTATGGGACTTCTTAATTAAAAGAAGTCTTCTGAAAGACTTGCAAAATTTCACAAGTAATTTATAAAAGAGTAAAATAAAATTGTTAAAAATACTTATGTAACAGTAGTCTACAAGTTAGAATTTAGAACAATATACCAACGTAAATTACAATTTTTCACATCTACAAAAGGATAAAAAAAATTTCGTACAAATGAAAATAAAATTTTTTTCCAAATGAAGTTACTTGTTCCTCCGACACGGATGTTAATATAATTACGGTATCAATTAGCACCCTTATTTTCCGTAGCTCTGTCGAGAAAATTCCAAGTTCTTCGACACTTACTTCTCAGAGAAAGTAGAATTTTCATGAACTTCCAGAAAACAGGTGGCGAGTGACCTGCGGAAATGGTAAAAACTTTTCGCGATGCTCGTCACAAGTTCGTCATTCGTCCAACAGAGATTCCAGTCGGATTATCTTCCAGTGTTCCTCGCCATAATGTCTGTCCAAGTTCGGCCGAGAAACGGTCCCTTAAACTCCGGCAATAAATGGAAAGCTTGCCGAAGCTGTGCTTGAGGATCTGAAACGACAAGAAAAACGATAAACTTGGAACGTTTCCCTCTTTCTTCGGTTCCCCGTGCTTCGTCCAATAATTTCCTCGTCGAGCCAAGGTGAACCATCTGTTTCTGAGCCGAATTTCATGCTGTCGTCGAATGAATTTCCGCTGAATCTGTCGCGAAAAGTTGCTGAAACGATGCCTGACGGGGTGCATCAAGTTCTGCTACACCTTTCCACCCATTTCCGTTTCGCGGACAAGTAATAACGTCAAAAGAACGTCATAGTGGCGTGTTCCAGGAAAAAGTGTGAATAAATGCAATTTTTTAAAAATTTCCTTTCGTCTTCAACCCTTTCACTACGGACGACTGGTTATCAAACGTAAAGCCTTTTTATTTTATATTAAAAATAAAAAAATCTATGCTGATAAATTTCTCGATGCAAATAAAATTTTATAAAGAAAATTATTTTATTGCACGTTCGGATATTGAATTTAATAATTAATTTTAAAAGGATAGGCACATGGACTGTTCTATAAATGCACAGGAATTATTAATGAAATTAATTCACACTTTTTTATGAAACACGCTATCGTGCACCGAATAGGATAAAAGATTCTTGACCGTACCAGCTTTTCTTCCAGGACGAAACTTTTTTAAGGAGATTGTTTGTCCTGCCTCCGCGACTTTTCTGGCTTGCCGGAGAATATCTCGAGTGCAAGCGACGAATGCTTAAAGGTGTTCCTTTCCATCGAGAAAGCCACGATGAATCCTAAACGACCCTTGTCACCGACTACGTGGATCGATTAAACAATTGGTTGTCTCGCTTTTCGAACAACTTGCGCTCCGATTTCAGTGCTCCACTTTTCTGTTTCTTCTTAGAGAACCATTGTTTTATGTGAGCCGTGCTCTTCAACGTACCGATGGAAATTCTAGAAATGTTTCTTTATCAAGAATATTTTCATTTCGTTCTATTTTACAGGTATATTTCTAGTTTGTGTTGGAAAGTCAGTAAATAAAATAAGAAGTAAAAATCCATGGCTCTATCTTGATATTTTAGATAATCGACGAAGACTTCTTTAAAAATCTATTTATGTACTATAATTTCATATATGGTATGATTTAGATATTTCAATAATTTATCTTAAAATTTTCTCTCGATCTACATCACCATTAATCTTGATACTTTGGATAATTAATGAAGACTTTTTTAAAAATCTATTTATGTAATATAATTTCATATATGGAATGATTTAGATATTTTAGTAATTTATCTTAAAATTTTCTCTTAATTTATAGCTCTATCGAACTACCTATTTTTACTTCAGACTTCCTCTTCTGAAGGTCTTCCGAAGATGTTTTCACTAAAGCAGCAGATATCCTTGGATACTTCATTTCTAATAGGTCCTTCTCGTCGTGTTCCTTCACTTTCTGTTTCAACCTATTCCACAATTCCTGCTGCCTCTGTGCCTCAATTTCTTTCATATGTTCCATAGTTTTTCTCTTCTTCATTGATCGTTTTCTTCCAAAAAGCGAATCTTTGCTCATAGACGGTTTCTTCTTCATCGACAACTCGCTAATTTGTTTAGAGGACGGTTCTGGTTTCGGTTCCTTCTTTTCTTCGGCCTCTATCTTCTTCGATGTCTTCTCTTCCAGTTTCCGTTCGATTATCCATGAACTGAGATTCCCAGCTAGAACTCTCTCTTGCCATGCACGCACTTCCTCTTTCGCTATTTGAAGTTCCTTACGTAGAACATTTGGCGGTGCGTTCTTCAGCGTTAACATCCTCCTCTTATTCGCCGGTGAAAGATCAGGGATTTCGTCGAGCTGTGTAGTTAATTTTCTGAACAATTTGTCCTGGATAAGGGATGATCTTACTTTTTCGGGAAGCCTTATCGTCAGTTTATATTGTTGCGCTTCTTTCAAACGTTTGGCTTTTGATACCTCTGAAATATAAGGACGTCATTTTTGTCGATTGAAAATTAATATTCTGATTTTTGTTTGTTATAAATTGATATGTAATATGGAAAAAGAAATGGAGAAATAAATTTAGAAAGAACTAACTTTGTATAGATAAACATTAATTTTTTTTTTAAGATTACTTTACTAAAATTTTTTTAATGTTACTGAAAATTTACAAAATAGATTTAGTGTTTGTAATTCATATTTCTATTATATTCTGTTCAATATCTAACTAATAATATTTCAAAACGTAAGAGAAATGCGCATTTTTTAAATTCAATTCATTTAACGTTCATTTAATCATGGAAAAATATTGAAACGTGAAGTTTCCTGATGATATTAAATCAGAATTAATACATTCTACCGGTGTATTGATTTGAATGAATCAATATTATCAACGGACCGGGAACAAAGCATTCACTGGGCACGATTTTTCTTTCCGACGTTAATTAATTCCATCCTAATTTGTAATCGCGAAACTCGCTCCAACGAGTCAACCGTTCTTTATAATTCCCCTGGACCACCCAATATCCCCATTTACATAATCTCGAATTAATTCCTGTTCGCGCTATAAAAACAGGAGAAAAAGGGGAAATAATACGGTGGAATGGGAATGAGCGGATCTGCGGTTGATATTTCACGTCGCGGGAAGGAGAGAAAATTTCCGGCTACTCGAACAATGTCTATGAACGCGCGATCAGAATGCAAAAATTGCTTTTATGATATCGGTCCGTCCCCAATATGGAAATAAATCCTCCACACGCGAGAGACTGCATCGCCATTAGCTTCGACATACACACCGTTGGAAATATTTTTCAACGCGATAAGACAATATTTTCCTGGATGCGGTGGGCTTTCGTGTTTGCGAAGCTTGATTTATTGGCATCCCGTCGTTTATCGTAAAAAAAAAAAAAAAAAAAGAAAAAAAGAAAATGAAAAAACATCTGTGTATTCGAGAGATTGAAGATTTAACGATAGATCCGTCCGAGAGAATCAGAATAACTTTGTTTGATATCTCTTAATAATATTTATACTCGAATGATTCTGTTTTAGTTAAAATAATATTTTTCTCAAAAGAATCAGGAAGGGGAAATAAAATGATGAGGTAAAGAATTAAATGTTCAACATGAAATTACACAATCGCGTAATAGCTCGATGGCTCGTTACTTTTATTAACTTCCAGGCGATCGTTTAAGTGCTTTCCGACGCGTTAAGCTCTGTTAACTATAACTAACTCGACGAGGCGGCTACTTGGGACTCGTGGAATACCGGAAACGCGGAACGGAATTAATTCACCGGCAGGACTGTGATACGACCGCGACAGACCGTGTACCTTGTTTGCAGTTCCTCTAACCCCCACCCCGTCGTGATCGTAGAATTTACAAGTGGTATAACCGTAGCGACAACTTGGCGCAAACTTTCGAAAAATTTCCCTGGAAGCGTGAAATGAAATTCCTCGGAAATTATTGAGTAAGCTTCCTAGTCAATTACAAAGGAACTGTACACTTCGAGTGATTCCTCAAGAATGTTGATTTACACGGGGTGACACAGGGTACCCTTGAAAAATTAATCTCGACGAAAAGGAATTACCAATAGGTACTTCCTGCGTTAATTAATTTGATCATTTTTAGTCATAAAAGATTGCTTTTTGAATTTTTTCTACGCGGAGATTGAAATTTACTGAAAGAACAGCGACGTATTTTTCATGAAATTGAAATTTTAATTAGATATTGTGCTTCGAACCTTCGACGCTCTGGCTTGAAATTAGTTATGCTATTATTTTAGCAAAAATAATTACCTGTAGGTAATTATGAGAAAAATTCTTTGAAATAATGTCACCTTTCTGTCAAATTAGAAAGAGTAAAAGACAAAATGAAAAGAAATATGGAATTATTGAAAAAAAAAATAGTATTCTATCTTAACAATCTTACCCTCCATGTCTTTGCAACAAATTTCCGGTTTGCAGATCGCACCACAAATCTTCTTCAACATCTGTCTTGATCGTCTTTTCCTTCGCATCCTCGCCGAGTGAGGATCCATATCTTCGCTGACCTTTTCTTTCGACTCTTTCGAAGTCCTTCGAAGTTCTTTTTGCATTTTTGGTCGACTCCAGATCTTTCTGATGGATCTCCGTTCCCTTTTCGGCTCCTCCTTCACGGATACTTTGTCCTCCTCTTCATACTGCGGAACCCCGACTATCCTCTTCCTCAACAATTCCTGCGCTGCATCTACGTCCTCTTTATCTACTTCCACATATTTCCCGGAGTCCTTTCAGAACGAGAAAAAAAAACACGGTACATGCATCATTTCTATTGCACGTTCATGGTGTTCGTTGCACAGTCACGTTGAAATTGGTGAACTTTTTCATTCATGTTTCTTTAGAAATGTTATACGTCTCTCGAGTTCTTTAACTCTCTTCACTCGTATGTATTAAGCTGTCGCGTATCAAATTTGATGACATAAAAGTATTGCAATATTCAACTTCTGACACATCAATTTAAAGTCTAAGGTTTGGAGAATGGAACGACATAAAAGTTTCCTGAATATTCTTAGTAGGAAATGGCTGGACCTTTGTTGGGATTAACAATAGATCAATCATACGTAGAAAGTATATATTGTGCTTTTCTTTTATAGACAGAATGTTAAAAAAAGAATTGTAGATTCTTTGTCATATAATAAATTAAAAATTTCATCACTATTTTGGGATATAAGTAAATGAAAATTGAATATTAGTTAATGGACGATGCTAAGAATAAGCTGCAATTTGGATAATACATTAATTAACCATTAGGTATTGAAAACATTAATAAGTACTATTTTGGGATACTTTTATGTCATGAAATCGTCTCGGACTCTGAACAATTCAAAATCAGCCATTTGATGTGCAATAATTTTGAAAAGTGATTGACAGCCAGAGATGAATTAATTTTCCCCTCCAAAATACTTATGAATTACAATGTACGAATATAATAACATCGAATAAAATTTCCCAAAAATCTTACGATTGATGAAACAAAAAGAAATAAAAAGAAGGCAAACTGTCTGATTGATTTCGATCAACAAACTTCTAATACAATTTTCTGTTTTACCTCTTCAATTCTACGGAAATATTCGTCCTCTGCCTCCTCTAATGGTGGTTCGTTCGATTTACGAACGCTCTTTCCTTTTAATTTCACGGTCTTTCGTTTTAGCGAATCGTGATGATCCCCGCTGAAGTGATGCTCCTTCTTCTTAGTTTTGCTATCTTTCCGTTTGCCTTTCTTTGGCGGCCGTCTACGCACACGGTCCTCTTCCATATCAGGACCATAAATTAATCGTAATTCTTTCATTCGATTGTCGAGTCCCTTCTGATATCGACCGCATCTGTCCAGATACTGCGAGAAAAACGAAACGATGATCGTAATATTTTCTAACGTTTTCCGAACGAATTAATTTCCCGAGGAAAGCCGAGAATTCCGTCTACTTGCAGCTGTTTCTTCTCGGTTAAATTCATCGCGAAAATCCGGCTGACCTGATTTCGCGAAATCAGAGAGAAGCAGCGGGGCTTATCAAGAAACGTAGCTTCGTTTAATCAAACTATTTGGTGTTAGGTATGTTTGCTCGAGATATACAAGTTAAGGTGATCGTTCGATGACAAATTTTCTCTGTTTACGAAAAAAAAAAAAAAAATTCTCACCTCTTTATCTGAATTCTTTTATGAGTCATATAATTATTACGTATAGACGATCTCGAATCTTCAGAATGTAATTTTTTAACATTAGAACTAGTCAAAATGACTGGTTTTAAGTTTCTTATTTTAATTTACAAATTTTATCGAGGTATTTTTACTAATAATAATTACTAATAATTTTACTAATTCGTTCTTTACCAAAATTAATTTTCTGCTATTTTCAATTTAAAAATTAGAGTGCATCGAACGTCATGTATTAACAATATTTCTATTGTTTAAAAAAAAAAATTCAAAACACAAATTGTAGATTCTTTGTCATATAATAAATTAAAAATTCCATTACTATTTTAGGATATAAGTAAATGAAAATTGAATATTAGTTAATGGACGATGCTAAGAATAAGCTGCAATTTGGATAATACATTAATTAACCATTAGGTTAATTAAGTCTTTTTTTTCTAAAAAAAAAGAAGAACATAACTAGATTGAAAAGTGAAAGAAGAATTTCTTACGTTACTTAAACGGTTTCTCTCATCTTTGCTGAACACCGTTAGATCCTCCGAGCATTGCAACAAGTATATATTGCCATTATGATTCCCAACACCAATTAGTGTGCCATTGCTCTCGATACTTAGCGACGTTAACTTGTTCTGACAAACATGAATCGATGTCAAGGGTGTTCTTATACCCGCCAGAATGTCGTACGCTTTCAATTCACCTCTTGTGTTTATAACGTAAAACACGGAGCATCTGGATTTACTCCAACATCCACCGCTCAGATCTTCATCTTCGCTGTACGGAACATTGACAACGGATTTTTAAAATTATATATATTTTTTTTTTAAATCTCTTCAATTATACTTCGCGTAATTATGAATCGCACCGAGTTCTAAGAAAGCATCCTTCCTTCGTATCATCCGCCCAGACTTTGGCAGAACGATCACCGATTGTCAAAAAGTTTTTTACAACAGCAGGATTCCTGTCGATAGAGACGACCGGTCCTGTGTAACACATGAATTTCGACGCCAGTTTTTCGATACGATTAAGGTTTCTTTTGTTCACGTTGATGATCATGCCGTTTTGCATGCCGGCTAGAAATCTACTGCTGATGGTCTGTTCGTATTGGAGAGCCGTCACACCGATCGCTTTCACGATGTCCGCTCTAGATGGGCTGTAGAGGTCCATCACCAAGATGTCACTCGGTTTCCTTGGGAACCTCGTATCCCACCATAGCACAGCCCCGTCGGTGGAGGCTGAGAAAAACTCTGTGTTCACTTTCGACGGGATCCAAAGGGCTTGGCTCACTGGAAACCTTCGGATACGATGAAGAAACAATGATCAAAGTGATAACTTTATTTTAGTATAGCAAATATATTTGCTATGAAATAAATTAAGGAGCTGAAATTATTTTACCATTAATACGTTGAATGGTACAGTGAAAATGGGCATTTGTCGTGGGACGTATTGAAGCTTTAATTATTAAGAATAGGAATAATTTTTTCATATTTCAATTTGATATTTTATATTATTTGTACAATAGCAAAAAAAAATGGCATTTAATGTGTTAATAATCATAGCAATTTAATAAAGAAAAATCTGATATAATTTTCCCATCTACGATAACTGAAATTCGAGCCAGTAACTTGATAAAATATTTTTGCATTACAATGTAAACCGATATGAATGATAAAAGCGTAATGAAATATTTCTCACAAATTTCACATTTCTCGATTTGCCAAATCAACGAGAACTATGGTATTGAAAATTCAAATTGAAAATTGATATATGAATACCTGTGACTGTAATAAGGATGGGATGTGTGGATGGGTGTACCACTTGTTCGAATATCCCAACAACACACTTGGCCGGACAAAAGACCGGCAACTAGTACCACGGGATCACGAGGATTAAATTCAATTGTCACTAATGGAGATGATGATTTTAATGTACAGTATGGTTTGCTGGAGTTTTCTATACAAAGAAAGCGATATAATATTACGATGAGTGGAAAAATTTTCTGAAAATGTTTTTTCTAAATTGAAAATCCTTAACACGTTAAGTGCTAATTATAATTAATTTAGAATATAATTTTTTAAACTTTCCACTTGCTGTCAATATCGCTTGAAATAAATACTCCCTTACCACCGTAAGTGATATAATTAATCCAGAATAGAATTTTTTAAACTTTCCACTTGCTAGAAATATTGCCTAAATTAAGTAATAAAATAAATATTTCTTTAACTATTTTTTACCCTGCAGCATTCAATGCGTCAATATTACATCAATGGCGCTTATGCAACGACACCTATGCATTCTTTCACAATCAATCTTCCGAGCTACCTACGGTATCTCGTCTTTCATCGAAACGATATCAAATTTCCGCGTCCAAGATGAATCGAATCGATGGAATAGCATTCCGTTTCAAGGTGCCGTGGCAAATAACGCCGATCGAGTGTGGTTCGTCGTCGAATAACATAAGGAATATCCGAGTACCGATGTCCCATATGTAGGACTCTGGACTCACGTCGGCCGAATGCTCTTCAAATTCCGTAAAGGAGTAAGCAGCAGCCAATCGATTCGAACCACTCGCACACCAGGACAGATGTCTGATTGGTCTCTTGATCACTTGCGGATCCGTGTACGAGTTCCGGTTCCTGAATAAGAAGCAGACAACACCGAGGAGAATTGAATTTTTATTCGAGATCAAATCTCATCTGCCTCTTTGATGTTACGAATAGAAGATCATCGAAAACTTTACTGGTTTGTTACAATGCTGACTCGGTTGAATTGTCAGTTACACCGGGCTCTTGGAAAACTCGAAGAAATTTTCGAAATACGATTCGGTTGAAATTGGGAAGTTGATTTGGTAAAAAAACTTTAGATAGGAACTGTAGTACGTGTTATTTGTGTTCGAAGTTTAACGTAATAAAGTAATGAAATAAACGTAGGGTCTATAGAACCCTGCAAGGTAACGATGTAACTTTTTTGTTACGTTTGTTAGCACTAGTTAGATCAAAGCTTTGATTTTGTAATTACTATTCTAGATAGAGAGATATTTGAAAAACAGTTGATTTGCAAAAAGGTCAAGCACCGTTACGAGCCAATAAACTTTTCAATCACCTTTCAATAACAAATTCACTGAATTTTACAGTTCAGTGTATTTAAGTTGTTTCATTGAACCAGTTTGAAACAATTGTCTTATTGTTCACGATTCATTTACTCGATTCGATTCAAGCTTTAAACTTTATCTGTTGATTGTTTTCAGAATTGATAGCAAAAGTTTCGGTATATTTGGAAAAACCTACTTGATATTGTAATGCTTGGCAATGGATGTTGGAATCAGATCGTCGAAATATTCTTCATGAATATTCACCGCACCATTTTGTAACACACAATGTTCCATTGGCTAAATAACATTTAATCGTGAATAATTCAAGCATACGTAAAAATTGAAATTTACTGCAGAAAGCATAAAAACATTGAATATATATTTTGCTGAGAATGAATTGAAAAATAAAAATATATGAAACATGGTGTTTGAGTTTCTGTAAATTGAATATTTTTTCAATTTATTTTTATAAATATTTAGTTGACAATGTCCCGTTATATAGCAGTATATTGTACATATTTGAACAAAGTACGACTTCGAATAAATATCAATATTACTTTTACGAATGTTATGTAAAATGTAAATGGACGTAATGGAAATTGAAGATCAATTTTCAGTATATTTTCTTTAAGAGAAACTCACTGGTACTAGTTTTTTTAAACATGGAGCCCAACTATTATGCCTTTCGATACGTCGACGATATCTATAAACAGCTTCATTATCATTTACATTGATTTCTTTTGGCCAACCACCCTCTGTATGGAATGTTCCTGTATTACACACAAGCTTTACTTTTGTTTGCACCTAAAAAACCACGAGAGACGAAATATGATAATGAATTAATATTAATTTTTATTTTTATAAATCTACCCATTACCCATTTATTAAAATTCATATAAATACTGATATGCATGAAAGTAAATGATAAATAATATATCTATGAAATTTCAGTGATTAAACGACAATAGCAACCCTTTACATATTGATTGATTTTCATTAGAAATTTACCATATGGAATGGGTTCAATTAATTACTAATAATTCCTGTAACGATAATCCTATTATCCATTGACATTACAATTGAGGTTAATCATAGCTTCAATCATTATTATTATCAGTTTAATAGAATATTCTTACTTCATGAACCGCAAGTTGTACAGACTTCTGTACATGGCAATTATTATTTAAACGAAGAATATAATTATCCAAGAATTTTGGATCTGGTAATATCGCTTCTTCGGCTATACGATCATAGTGTTCAAAGACACATTGTTTCCCAAATTGATATCTTGGCTTGATATATGAATATCTTAACATCTCCGTCGCCATCGTCACTCGTTGAGTCTCGTGCACGATAACACAACATTTAAATCACAAAAAAGATACACCAAAAATAAATTATCAAAAAATTAGAGAAAAGTCAAAACGTTCGAACCGAACGGCAGCCTGAAGCAGACTGACGAACGAAGCGTGAGGTAAACACGAGAAGGTCGATACAAGACTTGTTTCCAATGAATATGCTTCGAGTATTCAAAACATAACTTTCTTATCACTTTATTGTTATTGAAATACGCACAATGAGTTTATGCAAAAAATTTCCAAACCCCCTTTGAAACAGAATAATTTTTTAAAAATTGGAGCAAATAATTCTTTTTTTTTGGAAAGTAAAATTATTGTAATAGTCTCAATATCTTTATTGATTTATTTATTAATTCTTAATGATTATTGCAAATAAGTTTGATGACTTAAGAAATAAAAAAAGGGTTCTAATAAGAGCCAGAAGGTTCAGCTAAACGATTCTTAAACTATTGGAATTCCTAAATTAGAGATTTTGTATCAAGTACTTGAAAGTACCAATGGAGTAAACTACACAGGACAGAAATAATACCCAAGATTTATTAAAAATAAAATTGTTTCCTTGTTGAACGATCAACGAGCATTTTCCCAGGACTGGATGCGATAAAAACAGAGCACCGATCCGCGGTAGCATTGATTTATACAATCGTAGAGAAACCGTGTTACTCGAAACATTGATGAATGTTTCAACGAGAACCACAATTTCCCTTCCAATTTCCATTCTCGACGATGCTCGACGGTTGCAAAGTCGTCTGCAGCAAGCACAACCCGCTATTGAATCTTTCAAAGCGGTGAAGAACCCTGGCTCTCTCGTAGGCTTTCACTTTTCATCGAGACAGAGAGATAGAAAGAAAGAAAGAAAGCTTTACCATTTTCTCGGCCCTCGCTAATTTCCCGGTCCCGATTCCTTTCACCTATCGAAGATCCAATTTTCACCTCGAATCCACTTTATGGAATTAGAGGCGTCGTCGGTGACGTGGTTCTCAGCCCATCACTGCATTATCCCTTCGTGACCTTCCACAATTTCTGCTAGCCGCATGCCACGATCCAAAATCCGGCAATCAATGCTTTCACACGGATCCGTAAATCGCATAAGCCACGCAGACAGAGAGATGGAACGCTATCTTCTCTGCTGAATCATATTCGATGCAGTCTCGTCACAATCATGATCGATTGGCATGGTAAATGTGGTAAAGCGTGCACGGGAAAATGGACGTTCTCGATTCGACAGGATCCTGGCTAAAATTCACTTGGACCGTGTAACGCGTATTAGCTCGCTTTCATTAAATGACCAAATTTCCTTTGAACCTTCGCGAGCCCGAATTCGGATACGAAATACGAGTTGCAAGTGGAAGGTTTTAACTTAAGCACATTTGTTTTTGATGATAAGGGAGTCTCGTGTCTATGGCAAACTATTTGCAACTTACCGAACAGATACAGGATTCAAAGTTTCTAACATCTTTTGAAAGTTTGCAGGCTGGAGAGTTTGAAGAGTCTAACGTTCTGCCTCGCTTCGTTAATTGCAAATTCAGCAATCACTGCTCGCACATGACTTTCAAGATCGCATAAGCCGACACGGAGGCTGTTTCTAATGAATCTGATTTAGTGCCGTGCCATCGAGATCCCTCGATCGATTAACAGATATTGCGTTCCAGACTTGGTAATTAAGGAAATCTGTCTGGGAATGCATCTTCTTTGTCATTCGCTAAACTAATCGAAGTTCCAAATATCGAATAACAAATTTTAATAAAATTTTCAATCTTGTTAATTATTAATTACACGTCTGGTTAGGTGTTCTCTTTGTTTCCTTACGAACTAATTAATTGAAAACATAGAAACCGCTATTTCCTTACAGAGAGAAATTCCAATTAATTCCAGAGCATCGCGTAAACGACCTTACGTTGATTCTCGTCGTCGATAACTTGCAAAACGGAATTTATCGGAGAATGCCTTTGCGAGCGAGTTCTACAGCCGTGTAAGCCAAACTGGTGATGAATCAGATCGATCAGTGTCTGCGTATGTCCGGACACATATCGAAGATGAACCCGGCTTCCGGAACTAATGCAATCTAGGTTTGAATTCCTAGCTAGTGGAAATTCTAGTAGAATTTAATTGTCTAATGGAGGGATGTGTTTCGACAAACTTCCTGTAGATTGTTTATCAACCTCGAAATAATTACAGCTTTGATAAACCAAAATGAAGGGAGCAAAGTGTCTCTACCCAAAATGACTAATACGAATAATGAATTTTAACAGATTTATTCGTAATTGCAGACCCAATAATCAATCATTTTTTATAAAAATGTAAATTAGTAAATAAAAACTCTAACATTAAAACTATTATGTAATTAAAAGATATTTTCTAAATTGAAAATCGAGGTCCTAAAACCTTAATTTGGATAATTGAAATATAAAATTATATCGAAGAGAAAAGTGAACAAAGAATCCCAATAATTGAAAGTGAACAATCTGAACTAAAATATATCATCCTCGACTTGAAGTTGCAGATAAATACAAAATTATTCATATCCATAATGTCAGCATCAAAATTTCAGTAATTATAATTAAGAATCTTTTTCATTAACTAAATCATTATGTCGTGATATTTGTAACACTACTTGCGACGAATCAATATAATATCAAAAAGATCAAACGAAGCAACAAATTCCATAAATAACTGAAGAAAATCCGACGAGCAATTAACCTCGAAAGCTACGAAATCGCTTTCAATCTTCATCCTGTCTTGAGATCAGTGTTCGAATAATGAGGAAGAAGTAGAAGAATTGAAACAGCTATTGTGACGAAAGAACCGAGAAAGAGCAGAAGGAAAAGAGGGAAAAAAAACGATGTGAAATCTCGACGTAAGATACATCGACAAGTCATACCAGGAAATGTTGGGTCTCTTATTACGGAAGGTAAAGCTTTTTTCCACGTCAAAGAACGCGAGCAATGTCCTGATTTTCTATGATACTTTTCCCTCAAATTTTCGAGAAAATTTCATATTTAAAAGAAATTTCCTCGATGATACATTGAAAAATTCAAGATATCATTTTGTAATATTTTTAACCCTTTATTGGCAATCAACCCTTAATTCGAAATAATATTATTTTGCAAATAATACACGAAAGGTATTATTCTTTCTCCCATTTATCAGTGTTGTTTCAACCTCGCTCCGGTACTGTTTAATTTCTTTTCTTTGAACAGTATAAATTCCACTGTAAGAAATAAAGAACAAGAGTCGGAGCTTAATGTTTCAGTCAATAATTTCTCATAAACGAATAATTCCACTTTTTACATTGTACCCCCCTTTTGTTTCGAAACAAAATGTTTTAATTCAATCCGTTCTCCGTACCGCAAATATTCGTTAGCCGAATGCGGACCTTTCGTTTTAATTAAAATTGAAACGCGTCAGAAAACTGGCAAGTAAAGGAAAAATTTTCTTACCAGGTTTCCTCGAAAGCAATTTCGGCGCTGCAGAAAATTAAAAAACTGCGACTCGACGCACTGAACGATGCCAAGAACAATTCCATAGAGAAAGCTCGATCGCAATTACAAGAATATAATGTGCAAGAAACGATTAATTTTATATTGAAAAAAGGCTCGTCCACGGTGAAGACACTGAATGATTCGTTGAAGATCATTCTTCCTACAGAAACGATTGTAAAAGTGCCATTGAATACTCTATCGAGATACCACGGTCCAGACACAATTAGACGACAGATTGCGTCTCATCAGAAAATAATTAATCATCAAACACGATGGATGAACAGCTGTGGTTCGAATAAGAAATTTAAACTTGTCAAAAGGAATACCAATATAATCGAAGAATTAGACAAACGCGTGAAGTTGAAAAAATCAAAAAAATTATCAAAATCAAATCGTGATCAGAACACTGATGACACTTGGCATCAAATTTCTGAAAGTAGTCATGAAAGTCCTATGAGCAAGTCTGGTCATTCAAATCAAAAATCAATTGCATCGCACCCTGAAAAACCAGAAGAATATTCCAATCAACAAACTTCAATGAAACATTCCAAGGATCATGCAGAGTCTGCAGAAAGTAATTATCCTAATAAAGGTACGTTTCCATGTAACAGTAAAGTGTGATTTTTATCGTCATGACTGTGATCATTGTGAAAATTAAAAACTGAATTAACCCTTTGTTATATTATAAAAAAACTCAGGGTTGTAAATTTGCAAATGAATTTTTGTTAATTAAATGACATTGAAAAGCATGAAATCAATTAAAAATAAAAATGCCCAATATTTTATTTCATGACAATAAAAGTCGCGATTCACTGTCCCATAAAAAGCTACCTTAAATCTATCAATGAAAATAAAATCATTCCAGACTCTCGTTTAAACGAACAAGACCAGAAAGAATTACCCAGAGCACGTGTAACCTGCGATCAAAGACCCGAGAGGCGGTCCTGTTGTTCGCAAAAAAATGCTCCACCAAAAAAGAAGAGAAAGTTTGAAGAATCCTCGAAATCCGATTGCCGGCAGTTGAAGCCTGTAGCATCGATCGTGGTGGAAGAAGTGGCAACACCTGATCCACCACCTCCTAGATCCAGTCACTGGTCTGAAAATCTGAATAAACCTCGGGAATACAGGAGCCCTTGTTCCCGAAAGAGTGCCCCTTCCCCGATGATATTCATTCCTTACCAGAAATCGAGCGAATCGAATAAACCAGTGCGAGAAGATTCGTCGCCCAGAAAATACCCATCGCAAAATCGACCAATATATAGTACTTGTAAACGTCCATCAATGAAACGCCCCTCTGAAGAGGATGATTCTTCGTCGTGTAACAAATATCGTATGGTTTCCGAAGAGAAAGACGAAATACAGACTCGAGTTCCGGTTAAGGAGAAATCAAACAGGGAAGTTAAGAGTCAGGCAAGCATCGTAGTTTTCGCGAAATCGGAGAAACCGTTTGAAATATCGGATGTCAGCGATTGCAGACCCAATACGGCAGCTTTGAAATATCGGATGAGCAAGTGTCCTTCTATGCAAGGGTCTTTGCAGAGTGGCAAACGCAAATTTCCCGAGGATGAAATTGTTTCTGGGGAAGAAACAACGAAATCTTCGAAACTACGAAGAACGCATTCGTCCGAAAAAAAGGAACGTTTTAAGAGTACTAGTGAATGGAAGAAGCAGACGTATCCGATTCGATTGAAAATTTATAAAACGAAGGACGATTTCAATCCCTGTCCTCCGGTGATATCCGAAATTAGACCAAGAGATCCTGGTTTTGTGGAAGAGATAAAGGAACCGAGATTGAGTCCAGTGCATCGTGAAATTGCGAAGAGGTTGAAGGATCCCTGTCCGCCTAAATACTGTCCTCATGTTGATATAGAGAAAACAAAATTGAAGACATTAAAGGAGAAGCAGCGTTGTAAGAAAAAGGCTAAAAGGCAAATGAAGTGTCCTCATCGTGGTGATTCCTAAATTTTTCATTTATTTGTCCACTTAAACATTTCTACATACACCGTGCTTTTCGATAAATACAAATACCTTTTGCAATATATTCTGTTTTCAATCATTTTTCCAAAATATATCATACTATAAAAATATAAGTAATGAACGTAGTAATGAATGTGTTAAGTTATCAATGTATCGTGTACTCTGCTAATTTACTTTTTAACAAATGTACAAAGCTGTGAAAAGAGAATTAATCGTCGGCCATAATTCAGCGTGCAAACTGCACTCTCGAAACAAAGAAATATTCCAGTTGAAAAAAAAGAAAGAAAAAGAATGCACTGTAAGTTGTCACACGAAAAGAAGCGGTAAGAAGCTTGCCTGTACCAGCTGTTGCCAACTTTTCATATTTATCATTACATCGCACCATATATCTCCACTTCCGTGTATCGCTCCACCGGGGAACAAACTTGTGCATCAAGTAATCCAAGAATGATGAATACTTCGTATCTAATAAAACGAAAAGAACTACGAAGGATTGATTTTTTGCTGGTGTACCTAGTGAATTCCACGTAGATGAAAGTTAGAATGGACTATTGTTTCGAGAAGATGGAGTGCCGTTTAAATTCCTGTAAATTCCTTTAACTCCTGTAGTTTCAACAAAATTAAGAGATCTAGGCGATTAATTGCTTCTAGCTACTACAACTCCCCAGACTCGATAAATATTATTTCAACGAGTTGAGAGTAGAGTCGGGTTGGTAAACCTCGTCGAAATACATTGTCTGCCGGAAGTGGGTGAACCGTGAAAGGCAAATTGTGTCCTGTGTAAAGCAGCTAGCCGCGGTTCAGAAACGACACGTACCCGCTTCGTTAACGTTCACCAGTTGGTTAAATTAAAATTTACTATAATTAACATATTTGTGTTACAAAAATAGCACTGTGTACAGGTGTCTGATAACAATAGGCAAATTTTAATTTAGATTCTAATCAAAATTAGCAATGTTAAAGATTTTTAACAAAATCGATTGCAATTCCATTTATTTTATTTTACAAAGTTGGGAAATTGGAAAATTGTGGCGTTGAGAAATTAGGAAATTGGAAAATTGTGGCACTGGGAAATTACGAGATTGGAAAATTTGGAAATTGCAGAGTTGGGAAATTTGAAAATTGTGGCGTTGAGGAATTAGGAAATTGGAAAATTGTGGCGCTGGGAAATTGCGAGATTGGAAAATTTGGAAATTACAGAGTTGGGAAATTTGGAAATTGTGGCATTGGGAAATTACGAAATTGGAAAATTGTCAAGTTAGAAAATTGCAAAAACGCAAAACTGTAAATAAAGAATATATTAAGCACTGTGATTAAGGAACAAAGATACTAATATATAAAATAAATTTTGATTACAGATAGTCGATAATTGGTATCACATGGTGCACACATCCGTGGTGAAGAGGTCAACGGAACCACACCTGGGTGTACACGTGAAATTAACCCAAGATCGAAGAGTACGTCGAGCCGAGCAACAACGGGTCAAATCACGATCGAAACGGGACCTGATAATCAAACGTGGTCCGTCCAATATAAGAACTGTTTTGAATGACGAGATGTGGCCTCAAATGTGGTACTTGGTTGGTTGACATCAATTAATCTTGAAAACTCGGCAACGTTATAATATTTTGAAAAGAGATTTCTATTAAAATGCAAGGGTCGATTATTCGTTTCAGAACAGGGGGAAGGGCCTGGACATGAACGTGCAGGAAGCCTGGGCTGAAGGAATTACAGGACACGGGGTCGTGGTCACGATTCTTGATGACGGATTAGAGAAAAATCACCCCGATCTCTACATGAACTACGTAAGTCTCCCTATTTACTCTCCTGAACTAACAAAAAGAAAAGATAGAAAAGTTTTGTACAATAAGAATCATCTCCATAGTAATTTCGCAAACTTTGATAATATCCAATCGAATCAGATTTAATTTGTTAAACTTCTAAAGACTTCTAAAGATCTCGGAAGCGTTTCAAGAATTTTCAACTTTGAATTTCCACAAATTAGTCGAAAATGTTGGAGAGACCCAAGAGAAATGGTTGTCACTAATGAATCAAGCGAAAGCATCCAATTTTACTCGACTTAAAGCCGCAAGCGAAAGATCAATCTCCCAGTAATTTGTCGGTATCCGTTCCACTTTCCGCGAGGATTTCGCTTGCAAGCAAAGCGGAAAAGCTAGAGCGAACTACGAAACAGAGGGGTGCACGAATGTCGGACGGTTGCCAAAAATTATACCGGCATGCAGAAACTCTCTCGGAAGGTCTGAACGTTAGTAAGTTTCTAATTCGAGCCGTTTTTCAGCGAACGATACGGTTAAACGAGAAATTATCGCGGACCCGACGCGTTACTTACGACTTTCTCGATCGAACGGTAAAGTATGACGAGTGAAAAATTACAAGTAGTGTGTACCTTCGATTTCAAAATTGTTCGTGTTTCGAGCGGAATTCAGAGGTAGCCAGAGGGAATCGAACGGTAGGGTTGTACCACACGAGTACCGTGTGTGTTTACTGGCGAATGGACAGAGGGTTAATAAGGCAACCGCAGAGAAATGTGTGTCGAGCACAATAATCTCCCAGAACCTGCATGATCGGACACGGTCTACAGAATTGATGGTATTGATCTAAAGGAGATGTGTATTGTTCGACAAATTTGAAATTCATTCTTTTAAATATTTTAATCGATCATTTATCTAACGATATTCTTAATTGGAAATATGGTTTTTAGAAAATTGTGAAATTAAATTTTCTTTTAAATATTTCAAATTAATCATGGCCTTCTGGAATAATTCAATCATCGATGCTAAGATACTTTAAAAGAATATAAAGTTAATGCAATTTTCAATGACAAAGCTTGGCGAAACATTTATCAAAAGTGTCGTGCGGATAAGTTTGTGGAATCACAATATCGAAATAAGAACTTTCGAACAGTCTTTGGTAAACTGCCTCGAGGAAAAAGCAATTACATTCGAATCCAGTATGAAATCAATATTCCCAAGGAACTTTGCGGAATCGTGTCCAACTTGTATTCAGTAATTGCAAAACTAGTTCACTAGATATTAATTAAACGTCTGATCGAACAGTGAGCACGAAAGAGTGGAAAAATCTAACGAGCTAAAGTGTCGAGAAAATTTTTATAGAATGTGTAAAGAAAAGTATATTACCGTTCCAGGATCCGCAAGCTAGTTACGATGTTAATAACCACGATGAAGATCCCATGCCGAGGTACGATGTGCTGGACAGTAATCGACATGGCACCAGGTGCGCTGGTGAAGTGGCTGCGACTGCTAACAATTCCATTTGCGCTGTAGGGGTCGCATTTGGTGCTGGCGTTGGTGGTGAGTCTAGTTAAAAATTTAACTAAAAAACGGAGATGCTTCCCTCGCCGTTAAATATCGCAGACTATTTTATATGGAAGAAGTCGTTTAAAAATATGGTGGAAACATTTTACTTCTTTTACCTAGGAGTGAGAATGCTGGATGGAGATGTAACTGACGCAGTCGAGGCGAGATCTCTGAGTTTGAATCCCCAACACATCGACATTTACAGTGCCTCCTGGGGACCGGATGACGACGGGAAAACCGTCGATGGTCCTGGCGAACTTGCCACTAGAGCGTTCATCGAAGGGATAACAAAGGTTTGTCGATATTCCCATTTACACATTAAACCAAGTTGTCTATTAAAATTTGCAAATAGAGCAAAATTTTACTGATATACATAGTTTCGTCTCGGGATCGTCTGCCAGACTCGTCAATGGGCTGAGGACAGACGATCCTTGCCCCAGACGCCTATAACCCCGCTTTTCGAAACTCCTATATATACAAGTCGCATCCGGGGGACCGCCAGCGAGAACAGACTCAATCCCGCCGCCACCTGGCGGTCGCCAACCCGAGCTAAGGGCGTCCGGGGAGACCTTCCCTTTCCATCAAACGCCTACACTGAATAAGATTTGAGATTTTTTATTTTTATTTTGCAAGTAATTAATAAGAGTGAGAAATCTCCAATCTTGTTGATTAAATAAGCTAATTAACATCGCATTTGTTTTTTGAGTTTCCTTTTCAGTCTTCCCCCTTTGATATCGTTAATACAAAATAAACTGTTGCTAGAAACCGTAGAAATATAGAAATGAATTGAACGAAGATTAAAAAACATCATCCACGTTTGCTTCAACCATTTCAACTTCAAAGCTTTAACGGATACACAATTTACCTTTCACCAATGTAGCTACATTGAAACGAATGGAAAGAAAAAGCATCCTGTTTATTCAACGTCCGTAACACGAAATTAGAACTTGCACAATTTATTTCAGTTCATTTTCTCGTTTCCTCTCTTTCTTCTTTTTTACTGTTGTCATGTTATCGGGAGTAAAGTTTCACTGCATATAAAATCGGATCTCTTCTTCTCACGTTCCATTCGGTTCCAACCAGTGAACGAACAATTCTTTGGTTCGTCTGTAATACAAGAAAAGTCTCGTCTGACCGTCGTGATGGAATCTGGAGGCCCGTTTCCCGGAATGAAATTCCTAGAAATGTATCACCTAAAAGCGTTACCCGGGATCTTTCTGCGGGACAACAATGGAAACGCAGCTACCTCATTGTTATCTCGACGTGTACGTGTAACAGCCGCTCGGAAGCAAGTTTCTCTTCGATTGCGTTTGTCGGTAGAAAACCTCTTCATCTCTCCGTTCGGACAACAAATTTCAACGTGTCAACTGGCCTTCTGTCGAATCAATTTGTATAACAGAGTCGTGATTGAAGTAAAGAATAACTCGAGACAATAATTGATGTATCACAAAAGTTAAATTAATTATTTTTATATTTGTAAATGACTCGGTTATTTTTCATAATTTTTACAGTTGTTAGTGTTAATAATTTCCATGATTACCTACTAGAAAAATAATTTTTTGTCGCCTGAGATAAACAGATGATTTGATTATCTCTAAAAACGAGAAACTTCCTCCGACTTAACAGATCAGGTCAACCCTTAAAAAGTTTCTAATTGACTACTTTCAAGCGACCTATCCCTGACCCCGCATCTGCACGCATTACCATTTTAAGCTTACTGTCCGCTAGCCGTAAGTCATATGTAAATATCGGAAGGTACTTTTACCGTGGGAACTCGTTAAAACGTAACCTGCAGAAAATAGAATTTGCATGGGTTTAGGTTTGCGAAAAAACGCGCGAGCAATTAGCAACGACTAACGGCAGGTGCGAACCGAAGAAAATGATTAATTAACAACTGGTTCGTATAGGCTGAAGCATTACCTTTGATCGTGACTTAATGGTCTATGAAATTAATAACCTTTTTTCTTTGCTTTATTAATGAAGGTAATTAATTGAAGTCGTCTGGAAGCTATTTTAAATTGGGTAGAAGAATTTGAGATCTTTTAATATATTTGTTATTCGAACATTTGAATTTTAGTATTGATAATTTGTTTTAAGAAAATTATCATTATTTTTTATTTTTTATTTTTTTTTAGATAATATTGATGGTATTAAAAACAAATTAATATTTTCTTAAAATATTTTTACTATTTCAAAGGCGAGTTGTTATCCAAAGTTTGATCAAAATTGATTAATAAAAGGAAAATCTAATTTATCGAATCAGATAAAACTTTATAGGTATCTTTGATAAGAACGAGCATTCATAGAGACTATTCACGTTCATTGAATGATGAGTTGCTAAAGTAAATCGATAGAGTAACGAGAATTTCTCGGTGTCGTTAAATTTTAATAGCTATCATAAAAGGGCTATATAAGTCTAGTGGTCACTTTAGGCACACTTAAGTATGAATAAGTATTTTATGCTAAAAGCATACATGCTTCTACGCTACAAAATGTTTCACTTTGATATTATACCGTCCTCTTTATTCTCTATACTTTTACCAAAAATATTCTTCCTTTCTCATTTATATTGCATTATATTCCCTGCTTTATATTTGACACATTTAATATTGTATATTTAACGAATTTGAAATTGTTTTAAACGAAATATTTAATTTTCATTTGAAAAGATTTTTGTTCTATATTTGATTTTTCTAAAATTCTTCTTCTGTCGCAAGAAATTTGAAGAATAACTTGTTTAATGCTATTCGAAGCTTTTTACCTTCCATTTTCTTGTCGACTCAACGGTATTGCTTACCACTGTCGTCCTGAAATATGAATTCATCTTTCCGGCATAATTACTGTTACTTCTGAATTTAAAGCACTCCATCTCGATACAATGTTAACTGTTAAATATTCATGGAGACAGTTTCTGCTGGCAATAATTAGCGAACTGTAGTTTAAAATGTTCGAGAAACAGTCAGACAGTTTGTCATCATAAAAGCAAATAAACTTAATAATTAATTTTTGTCCTTCAAAAAACATCAAACTTGAACTATATTCATCATAAGAGTGTTTGCAAAATTTATCAATATTCTATAAAATTTTGTAGCCCAAGAATTGAATAATTTCTTGTTTTAATCATAAAAGTTCCATATTGTTCATTCGTACACAAATGATATTCAATGCTATTTCCTGTCGTATCACTTCCAACTATGTTAAAGGAGGTCATCCTGTCTATGTACTCGAGGGTATAAGTGCATTGCGTTTAACGCACCAAGTTAACTAATCCAATAATTTCAAGGATGGTCCTTTGATCAACGGAGCTGTAATGGTACCAAAAGTGGCACTAACTTGGTATCTACCTGCATAGAAGGAGAAGCGTTGAAATTCCTAACGTGAACGATCTTCACTATTAATTAACGTCTTAATTCTTATCTAAACTTAAAATATCTCATCAAATTCTGTGCACTTAACAAATTCATTAATGTTGAAATATCTGAGCTAGTATTATACAAGCCTAATTTCTCATTTAATGATAATAATTACAAAATTTAATTAGGAACCATTGTTAAAATTTTGCAAATTTGCCTACCCAGATTCAAAAGTAAAAGATTTATTAGAACCAAATCAATTAATCCTCAGTACTCTGAAGTGCACTTTGCACCTGGATGCATATTAACCTCCCCAAATTGCATCTTTGATCACCAGGGTCGCAACGGTAAAGGGTCAATTTTCGTGTGGGCGTCAGGAAACGGTGGCAGGGATCACGACAACTGCAATTGCGATGGTTACACGAACAGCATCTGGACGTTGTCCATCAGCAGTGCGACGGAAAATGGTCAGGTGCCTTGGTACAGCGAAGCCTGTTCCTCCACCCTTGCTACCACCTACAGTTCTGGCTCGACGGGAGAGAAACAGGTGGTGACTACCGATTTGCATCATCTTTGCACGAGCAGTCACACAGGCACCTCGGCATCGGCGCCCTTAGCTGCTGGCATCTGTGCCCTTGCCCTCGAGGCTAATAAAAAATTGACCTGGAGGGACATGCAGCATATCGTCGTGAGAACAGCGAAACCTGCCAACTTGAAGGCTCTTGATTGGGTCACCAATGGTGTAGGAAGAAACGGTGAGTCGCAAATTTCTTTGACTAATTTCTTTATAACTCGAAGAATTTTTTTTAATTTTTCTTTTCAGTGAGTCATAGCTTTGGATATGGCTTGATGGATGCAGCTGCCATGGTTCGCTTGGCCAGAAGATGGCAAACAGTGCCGGAACAGCACAAGTGTGAAGTTTCAGCCCCACACATGGGCAGGTTGGTTTCTTATTAAAATAGAAAGTCATTCATAATCTCATGACGTTTTCTCATAAATTATAAAGTTGTCCACTAGTACTAAACATAGCTTTAGAAGCCTCTATTTTCATGAAATAAATCAGAGATAAAATCGCTTTGCTTTGCAATAATGTTTCCTCATTTGCACATAAAAAGGCAATTCAATGATTTGCTGAAATGTTCCAGTTTACATTTTTGACTTTGCAAACCATTTGAAAATATCAGAATTTCATCCATGTTCAAATAATGTACGAAACTGTGGAATAACATTTAAATCGTTTGAATATAAATATTATGAAATTGAAACATTTCGTGCTACGCTTTGGTGACCCAAATTTCACATATATTATAGGCCAATACCACCAAAGAGCCAGTTAACTCTGGAATTACACGTCAAGGAGTGTAGCGGTGTTAATTTTCTCGAGCACGTGCAGGTAAGTACTTATGTCAGTCACGTAAATACCGAGTTAATTAACTGTTAAAATATTGCAGTCATTTTCCATATATGATTAGATTTTTATTCAGATATATTTTGAAAAATTGTGATCTCGTTCTGATTGATTCTAAATATTGAGTGTTATGAGTGAAATTTCCTAATAAAATTTCAATATTTTCTAATTAGTAGACTTAACGAGCCCCCTTTGATTTGATCCAAATTCACTTTCATAACGATTATCAATTTTCCATATTTTTGAAAAATATAAAAAAATCTTGTCTGATGGATTTGTCATAGGCAAAAGTATCTCTGATGGCCTCGAGAAGAGGGGATCTTCAGATACAACTAACATCTCCGCAAGGTACGAAGAGTGTTCTTCTAGCAAAAAGGCCTCACGATGTCTCGAAGGCTGGTTTCACTCAATGGCCATTTATGTCGGTTCACACTTGGGGAGAAAGACCACACGGCACGTGGAAACTTGAAATCCACAATGAGGGTCGATACCAAGGTAAGTCCATTGTATGCTTCTTCTTGTTCCTTTCTTTCATCGCCTAGGATATTTCCAGATGGCTTGAATGAGACTTCATTTTATCAACTTTCTTGTATCAAAAAGTATTATATCTTTCGTAAAATACTTTAACGTCCATCAAGCTACAGACCGATCCTCGTGAAATATTAAATTGTAATTTCGTAAAACCCTGCCATTATTGGACATTAATATCTCAATCAGTATAAAATATTAATTTCTTCAATTTCATATGAATTTCTAAAACAAAGTTCCAAAAATTAACGAGATATAATTATTTCATATATTTCGAAAGATATTTTATGAATAAACGATAAGTCTATAAATGACAGCCTTGTATTGAAGAAAATTAGCTCTTAACTAATTAAGTTCTTTACAAAATTTCAAAATCATATAATATTCAAAATTGCATCTAGAAAACCAAGTTTCAGAAATGATTTGTATACGTAGCCTCAACATTTCCTGAATCCTTGCTTACTAATTAAGAGTTAAATTGCACACGAAACAATTTAATAATCTGCCAGCAAATTAATTTACTTTCATTACTGGAGGAAAGAAAATAACCTTGTAAGAATATTACGACCCCTTCAGGCTTCTCTGACGGATTCATTAATGCTAACAGCTGTATAAACTTCATTACGCACAATTTATCCTTAAAATTGTGCATCTGTGCCTCCTATACCCATGCACACCGAGTTCAGACATTGCAAGATGCAAATGTTTGTATAGTGTCATCTTCATCATCATTAAAGTATCACGATACAACGAAACAGCTTGTACAGGTATCAAGAGTTCTAAAGGCTGAGTAAACCTTATTTATCAAACTGAGAACATTCTTCAGTAAAAATATACTTCCAGTGTCATCAGCACTCGACTATAATACTAATCAGGCAAATAGAATCCAAAGATGTAAAAACAATTACAAATGTACATTCTATATAAAATTAAATTTTCCTATAGGGCATGTATCTACGACCCATGAAGTGAATAAGATTTACCAAACTAAGTACATCCTTCGTTCAAAATGGCAAATATCTAAAAATAATTGAAAATTCATTGAATTCCTAATTTAGAAAATCACGATTTCCCCATAGAACGCAAAGAGCCGAGTTCACCATAACGCTCAGATCCTATAGATTCTAACAGTTAGCCCAGTCAGTAACAGCCAGATGCTATCTAATCGTCTCATCTTGGAGGACATAAAGGGAGTTCTCGTAAAGCATGCACACATGGGATCACGTAAGCTGCTGCATCATCTCCCAAGGGCATAATTCCATATCCGAAGCGTGTTCTCTCGCGATGCGATCGAACAACAACGGATCTTGTGAAACCGCTAAGGGAAGTTGACCTTGCTCAGGGTGGAACCGTCAGGAGCACTTCAACCCAGAAGCCTGTTAAAGCCAATATGTGCATAAAGTTCAAGTTAACCGGGCTCTTGTACACCTATACACGCTTGTAAGCGACGTTATCCAGGCAGAGGACAGAACCTAGCCCTATTATACCGCGTAATATACAGGTTACATTCCAAGTACACCCATTGAAACCATTACAGCTCGTGTTTACGTTGATTCCCCTGTACATTGCTACGAGATCCGCTTCGTTGTCGTTGTCGAATGACAATATTACGTTTGCCGAGAAACGGGTCATCCTGTTGGAAAATCGTTTTTATTACCCGATATATTCAAACCGGGCAATCTTGTTCCTGCGGTTTGCCGTGTAATTTCGTGGAAAATAAATCTGATTGATGTACCCTTCTAATTCTTTCGAAAGAAGGATATTATTATTCGCCAGCGATTTAACCCTCTTCTCAATGTTTTATGGAAAGTATTAAATAGAAAATTTTACGAATTTATATTATCGATTAAACTAAATAATAAAAAAATTTAATATTATGTTATTTGCGCAAAATAGGAAATGGGAAGTTTAATTTGAAAATATATATTCGGTAATTCCAATTGTAAGTGATTTTGAATACATATAATTATCGTACGTCTGACTAGACACTGATGTTTCCACTGCGCCGTTCAATGTGTTATAAGGCATGGGCACGGAACCAGTTCAAAGAGCACGTCTGACATCGGCACTGTTTGGGAGCGCGCTTCACTCTACTTGTTAGCACTTTCGAGGTGGTGGGGAGGGATTGTAGGGGAAATCATGCTGCGGTGATCGCGAGATGACAAGAATACGAATGCGTGGTGTTCGACATACTGTCGGAGTGGGGATACACTCTCCGCCGCTCGGTTCGGTTCGCTTTGAGCTCGCCGACAAGCTTACTACTAGCTACACATGCCGCAGTAGAAACGAACGTGAATAGTCAGACGTACTGAAATTGAATTTTCAAGCTACGGTTATAGAAAACTTGCCATTCGTAATAAATGCAAGTCGGTGTAAAATTAAACCTCTACCATTGACGAAAGGGTTAAAATCGCCAGGCTGGCGATAAATGAAGTTAATAATTATTGCTGAAACTATGCTCTCGAATTTCCTTGCTGCCTCTGACGAACGACGGATCAGGTCGCGCCACACTTCACGAATGGGCGTTGATATTCTACGGGACATCGACGCTGCCCGATCGCACCGAGTACGCGTTGTACAGTCCGGCGAGTACGAACATATCGAGAAGACCGTTCGTGAAACCGCGCGAGACCGGCTTCTCGAAGGTGCAGAATTCCCTGGGCAACTCGAAGAGCAAACAAGCCCAGCACAAGTCCGAGAAATCCGGTAGCCTGAGCCCCTCGTACGTGGTGAACGCTCAGATACAGTCGCAGAGAAAGGGCAAAGCGCGTGGTCAGCACAAAAATGGAAAATCGGCGAACAAACCGAGTCCCCGGCCAACCGTGCAAACATTGAGGGGATTGACAGCGATCAGAGGACCGAACGCGGCTGGCGAAGTTCGTTTAATTACATCGAGACCTCGCGGAAGAAGCACGCCAAGTCCAATCGTAGCGACAACCGTTCAGACCAGCCCTCCCACTACGATCACGACCACCAAAGTGACCAGCAGACAACGAATCGTCGAGATAGTGACCGCGTCCAGTCTTCAGAGAGGTCTGATTCTACTGGAACCACCGGAGAAATCTGCCATTGACAGCGTTCCAGCGATTTTCCAACAGTATCCGAAAGTTCAACAACTGTACCCACTGTATCCGGTTTACGCTGGAGTACGCGGAGCTGGACAACAACACGCGACCAGGGCTAAGGGTCTCGATTTACTCCAGGACGAACAGTTCGATTCGAAGAACCTGGACAAGGGTATTCCGATTTCCTTCACGTGGATCTGTATTTTTTTGTAACGAACAGTCCCTGGATGATTCGATAGTGGTTGCAAATTCTTTTTTGCATGTTGAATGGTTCGACACATTTTTAGGGACCATCACCATGGACTCGCGTTACGCTCACTTTCTAGCTGGGTTTTGTCAAAGTAGTTCAGATTTGTGGTGTATACATAGTTGGGTAATAAGTTCTGTCATGTACGAAGAGAAATATTTTTAAATTATTCTAAATTAATCTAAAAATAAATGATAATTGCTGATAATTTGAAATTTGACAGGATTTAAGAACCTACTATTTAACACATGTAAAAAGTTGCAGAATTAAGTAAATTTTGTATAATTTACTTTCACACGCCCTTTTGTTTTATTTTTTCTTCTTAATCCTCCATAGGCAATTTGGGTCACCAACGGACTTTAACTTTCCTTGATTTTTTCAACTTGTCTATGGAGGGTTAATTACACTTCGATGTAATAGTTATTGATTTTATTGACACGTTATCGATTATGCATCTGCTTGTTCCTGAAATCTGACGAAATATTTTCTGAATAATTCTATCAATTACGAGAAAATTTTCGAATTATGTTCATGGTTTCGACGAAGCTAATATCATTATTATTTTTCTTATTTTTTAATTGTTTGGAAGATTACGTTAAGAAAATATTGTCAGTGAAATGTGAACCGCATGCAATTTTCTTTATGAATCCAATAATTGTTGCTCGACCAAAGTTCCTCCCGTGTAATAATTGAAGTGTAGTTTCTTAAAAAACACCATAACCGTAAGGAAAACTCGTTAAGGTAGGTGTACGCAAGCCACGTTATTTAATCAAAACTTCCAATGGCTTTGCTGCAGGTAACGTTCGTCCTACGTGATTCGCTTATATGCATGGAAATGTGTGTTCAGTAGAAGTGTGTTTCTAAGCAGTACAAATATAGCGTACGAGCATTATTAGATGTTAGACTCACGCTTATTAGACATTAATTTTCACCCTCCGATAAATCAAACATTTTCCTTAATCATTTCAATGTTATTCCAATGAAAACATCAAATTTTATTTTTCATTATAACAAATTATATTATAAAAATCTACTTTTTTATTACTTTGAAAACTTCTTCCTGATGAATTTCAAAGAGTTGTGAAATTTTGTCAAAGACAAGGATTTCATTAAACTTTAGTAATAAGAAAAGTTAAATAGCCATCTATATGAACGATCTTCAATCTATTTTGAATTTTATAATTTTATGCAAAATACATTTTGCTTCGATGATGATATTTTTGAAATAACAGTAATATCAGGAGAGCTTCTGAAAATCTGTTTCGAGGAATATAATATTTATATATAGAATCATTTATCAAGCTTTTACCACTCGAGAGATAATAGCGTCGATGTTTTACGAGCAATAACAATAACCTGAACGAGTTATTTCTCTCGACACTACATAAAATATCCTCTAGCGTCGCGATGAAAGGGTATTTTACAACCCCCCCGACATCTTCGAGTAACTGGCGTTACTTTAACGTCGATTTTATTACCATCGGTATCAGCAGAATTTACGATTACTTATCATAAACAAGTAGATAAAAAACTATATAAACATATAGCAGCAAAATCATCAGGGACATAAAAATACCCGTAAAACATTTTTCTCCTCTTATAACTCTCGATGAATTATTCTCAGTTCCCTAATTAAACATTAGATTTTTTTATATTTGTATTCAATGTGAGTTGTGAAATTAATAATTTTCACATTTTAATTAAAAGAAAATTTTCTTTTGTGTAATAAAGAATTATTTGATGTTCCCTAATGTTTTTCTAATATTTAAAATTTGTATTTAAAGATTGTTAGAATAATGGCCAATCGTTGTTCCTTCAGCTGAGGACAAAATTTTCTAGTCGGCATCGCGATGTTATTAATTTCTCGACACCCAGCGGCATTGACACCCTCTTCGCCTCCTCCATTTCACTGTCACCGTCTTTCTAAGACTAGGTTTCGAGACACGTACACAAATTGAGAGTACACGAACTACTTCACGTATGAAACATGCTTGTTCGCGTGAATGAACGTAAACGGCACACACGTGTGTATGTGTTTACGGATAATGCAAAGTGCACTCGAGACGCGTGAAATGGAAGCACCCATCTGTCGTTACATAGTGATGACATTAGGAAGACAGTTTCCGTTCTGGAATCTCAATGATATACTACGTTGGTTCGAGTTTTCTAAGCACAAATATCGAGAGCACAAATGCTATTGACAGTTATAGATACGATAAGTAAACTAAATTGAAGATACCACGACGAATACAAATCAACCCTCATACGGTGAATCAATTGTAACCCCACATTCGTTGGTTACGTTTTTCTATTAACATTTTTTGGAAAATAAGCGTTGAGATTGTTTCATTTTATTTCCACGTATGTTCTGTAAGGTAAATACAAATATCGATGGAAATGCAATTAACGAGCGAATATTTTATCAACTCAAAGGTAATTAATTTGACGAAAACGTTTCGAAGTTCTTGATCGATTGGTCAAAATAATTTTCCAGTACATAGATGTAATTCTGGATACGTCGGTTATTATTTTGGTTATCAAACTGTTTCAATCGACGACTGAACGTTCAATAAAGAAAGTGGAATGAAAATTTTAATTAAAATCATTTCGCAATATCGATATTTTTCATCTGAATTTAATTTCTTTCGTAACGCTTTCAATCTCGCGTAACTACCAAACTCTTTCTATCATTAATATCCTGTCATTTCTGGTCAATTCAGATTGCAAATCGTTGGAAATCGCGTCCGATCATTTATCGTCTTCCTGAATGAGTTTCATCAAGATAGACAATTAAATTGAGGATAAAGATAAATGACCATGAAAAATCTAGCAATACGTAACTAATGATTTTCCGTTCACTTGTTTCATTTGAAATTACAAAATTCAGAATAATTTTATATTGAAAATCAATTATTTAATTAAAATTCCTGATCCCAAATGATAGGGAAGATCATGATTTTAATGCTTGGAACCAAAAATATTTTACCAAAATATATTATAAAAAAACACACGCACTCAGATGAATACATTAATATATCCCCTTTTATTTTAACGGTGTCTCCAGAATTTTGAGATGCTTTGAAACTTCTCCAATTTTTACGTTTCAGCATGCTCACACATGTATTTTGTATTTATTAGATCAATCACCTTTTGTATATCCCAACGTACGTATCCTAAAATCTAGTTCACACCTCATAAAACAAACTTGGCTTTACCTTCTCAAAAGAAAAAAGAAAGGTCCATCACATAATTATACCATTCTCCAACAAAAAACATCACCTTAAATACAAAGAAATCTTGCTTGAGACACGTGTGTGATTAAGTAATTTATTTAATTAAAAATTAAAATCCTAGCCAAAGTAATTTGTCTTCATTCTTACTGACTCTTGGCCCCTTCACTCCCTTGAATCCACCACTTCTGTCAATCAATCGAATCACTAATTTAATCAACTAATTATCAGCATATCCACTTCCGAAAGCTCCTCTACCCTAAAATAGCAACCTACTTCAAGAAACCATAAATTCACCTTTCTTTTTTCTATTCGTCCAACAAAAACCTGATAAAGAACGAAACTAAACCTGGTCCATCATTTTCTAGACACTCTGGAAGAGTTCAAGCTAGTGTTCTACGGCACCGAAACGTCCCTAGAGTTCGACGACGACCTGGACAAGGACAAGTTGGTACCCCCCGTGATTCACGAGGACGTGAGCCAGGATAACACGGCGATAGGAGCGAGGCACAACAACGTGGACCAGGAGAGCGGTTCGTGGACGGGTAGCCAGCAGGTAGAACGCGTGTCGCATCCGGAGGTCCAGAGACCGACGACGGAGAACCAGACGAGCGGTTGCAGTTCCGTCGACGCTTCGAACGGCAGGTGCCTAGGTGGGTGCCTCATTCTACTCCTTCTAGCCTACCTGATCGGTGCGGCCAGCTGGGGTGAGCAGTTTACCAGCTGGCAGGGTCCACCAGGTGTTCAGGACGAGAGTGACCTCGAGGTGTCAACCGATACCTCGGGTTCATCCTCGGCATCGTCGAACGACGCAAAAATCGTGTTCAATGTGAACTCGACGATCGTCAGGTCGTCAGGAACTCGGTGTTCATGATGACGTCCCCGAACGATCGATACCTTCATCTGCCGGTCTACCGTTTAACCGGAAGTATAAAGGGTGTCGACGCGTTCCTTCGAACTCTGTGCGTTGTGTGAACCGATGGAGATCCCTAGGAACTCTGACGATGTGCCGTACATCATCGAGCTTAAAATGTCCAACGGGTTTTTGTCCGGGTGCTTTTCAATGTGGACGCTCGTTAACGCGGGTCGTTCTTAGGGTTAGGATTAATTGGATCAAGTGTAAGAGAGACTCCTTGGCGATCGGTATGAATGTAGTTAGAATTGTCTGGACGGTAAGAATAAATCAGAATTCGAAATTGTTGGATCTGATTGTTAAATACTTGAAAATATCTAACATCAGAATAGGGAGATTTGAAAATTTTCAGGCAGCTGAGATTTTCAGAATTTTAATATTCTGGTGTTCTAAAATAGTTTCAGGAATGGTACTTGATTTGATCCAATCGTTTTGGGTTCTGGTCTCTATTGGACAGTTTGATGATAAGCATCAGTCGCAGCCTGGTTCGTTGGAAAACAAGGGATTGATAAGGTAAAAGGATGGAGCATCATCGGAGAAAATCGAAGTGATCGACTGCTAGGTAGACTTGGAATTGGAACGTCCACGAGGAACTCTGTTCCTTTGAATATGCAGAGGCCTTGTGATTTTTCATAGCGATGAATTATTCAAAATGGATATCCGTGGCACGTGGTGTATCGTGAAAGCGATACGCTTCGATCATAATCTCCATAGAATCAGGCGAAATAACGAACGAACCGTTCCTTTGATACCTTTTATAGCAAACGGTTGTAATAACTTTCCCCCACGCTGATATTTTATTGGCTAAGCTTTTTTCGATCAAGTTTCATCCTTTGATGGTTGATCTCGATTTTCTTCGATCGGGAAACGAAATCCACTTGTTATCGGGGAGAAAACTTGTACCGCGCGTTCGATATGCCGTTCCGCGTTATTTAGAAATATCTCGCCACACTTTTCTACGAAATGTAAAGAAGCTCACTCGCGAAACTGCCACTACATGAGAATCCTATCGATGGAAATTGATTCCCTTCGATTCCTCGCCAATTTCGCGCACACGTTGCGATCCCGGAAAAATATTGCCTCGCGTAACTGATAGTGTTCACTACGATCCGACGATAACATCGCATTCCGCAAATTCGTAACCGTTCGAATTTTCCTAAAAAGCCAATTAATTATCGGATGCTACTCGACCGCGAAATCCCTGAATAATAAGCGTTCAGTGAGACATAATTGCTGTTTAAATTTCGCGATTAATATTCGATTATCGCTTGTACGAAGCGTTAATTGCTTTGTACGTATGACAAATTATTCCAGTTCACCTGTATTATTATACAGAAAAGGGGGGCAGAAAAATCGCAGAGAATAATTGAAAAAAAAAAAAAAAAACAGAATGATATTTTAATAATCTTGAATGTGATGTTAAAGTTTTATGTAGTCTTGTAACTTCAATGATTAGTTTCTCTAATAACAAAATATCTCCATATATCCTCTTCAAATTTTAATAAACTTTTACATGTTGATAAATAATATTGTTATAAATCATTCTTTATATGGTTTTAAGCATAGACTGTAAATAATTTAATATTAAAATTCAAGAAGGTTTCGTTCTGATTAATTTTGATTAATTAGAAATAATGATCATTAAATTAAAATTCTATTATTGGAAATTAAACAAAATAGAATAAATTTAAAAAATATTTCTGAACCATCAGAGAAATTTAATGTAAAATATTTTTATTATTTATACTAAAAACCATACATAGAAAAATTTGTAATAACACGATTTATTAATATGTAAAAGCTCATTAGCAATGAAGAGATGAAACGAGCCAACGTGTTCAAAAAATTAGATCATTCGCTTTTCTTATCATCTCTATCATTTTTCCCTTCTTTTCCGCTTTCTCGTTTCACCGGATTATTTCGTTTTTATCTTTCCGCTTCTTTCGTTGCGTATCCCGGCATTCCCACTGTCTCGTTTCTCTATTTTTCATTCGTGACAAACTTTCACCCACGTTTTCTTCCAACAACTTTGCTTACCCAGAGGGGAATACCAGCTGGGCTATCAGCACTGCCGAAACAAAAAGATAACGGAGCATTTACGAGCGACCAATGCAAACAGTCAAGAAAGAGAGAGAGAAAATAAAAAGAAAGGGAAAATACATTTGCGAAACAGTGGAAAAAAACCTCAACCTCTATTACTTGATTTCGATTTGAAACGAAACCAGTCGTTGTCTCGTTAAATGGATTAAATTTGCTGATGACAGCAATGTTTTCGTGGAAAGCTGAAATTTCGTGAATTTTATACGCAACCGAATAATACCTATGTACGTGATTAAATGTCAAGAAAAAACTCGATCGTCGGGAAATCATGAAATGTAAAACGGAACACGATCAAAGTTTCATGTAACATCCAATTGAAGACCGAGCACATACAGAATGAAATGAAATTTCCGACAGAATCAACGTAAAATATCAACGCCATCAAATTTTATCAGTTGCAAATATCCAATATTATATGCAATCATTCCTTCTACCATCGAAGAGGTGTAGTTTATGAAGATTCCTGCGTCCAGTTTCATTTTGAATAAATAAAAACGTTCAGGATTCGGGGTTGCTTGGAAAATTCTTAATGAAATTAAATAAATTCAAGGTAAAATATTTATTTCAGAAATTGCAAAGAATAAAAAATTATTTTATTATTCTTAAGATATTGAATAATAAATAATTTCTAATTTCTAATGATATGTACCCTTAGATATCGCTAATTACTCTAAAAATAAATTTTCCAAACGGCTCAATACGTCTAGACGATTAATCAGTCGCTTTTTAATTGAGTCAAAAAGAATCCGGCTGAAAGGGAGGAAGATGCAAAACATGATGGTGGAAATTGAAAGAGGAAGCTCGTGTGTACGTAAATGGCTTCAAATATTTTGTTAAAGCCGTGGTCATAGGGCTCGGGTAACCCAATTCATTGACAAGGGGAATCGTTTGTGTTCGTCGAATCGAGTCGGCAGTTTCTCGTTTGTTCAAAGGATGAGAGAACGACAGTACAGGGTGTGCTTTCTCATTCAAGTGGCTTCCAGAGTTTAGGCCATTGATCAGAAGGAAAGAGACCATTTAACTGAGAAAACTTTTCAACGAAAACACCGACTACCTGTACACGGTTCTATCGTGTGAAAGGAAATTTCGTTTGCGCTTTATTCATTTTTATGTAGCCTCGAGAGTTTCGCGAAGACGAGACTAACCGAGATACGGTCCTCTTGATCATATCGTCATTAATGAAAATTAATTTTCACGGTTAAACGGCGAGGATTTTAATTAAAACAGCTAAAACGCGTTTCACTTGCTTGGCAATAATTATATAAACGAGGAACATTGTTAGGAAAGCAATAAAAATTTTCGTCGTTTCAAATAAAAAAAAAAACAAATGCTGTATTGTTTGAATATTTGTAGAAATTTCCTCGTCAATTTAGTACAGCAATTAAGATTCGTCTTCTGAAAAGAAATCTGAACGAACGGTTCGGTTATCAAACTTCTGCGGTTGATTGAAATTCTTTAATCTCCTAACGAGTTGAAAAAACGTGTCTAAAAAATCTGTTAAAAAAGGGAGGAAACTAAAACGGCACGAGCCAAACGAAGATATTCGAGGATGAAAAATTTTAATGACCGCTCAAGCGGTCATACGAAGAAAATATGAAAAAAAAAAAAAAAAAGAATCTGGGCCAACCAAAGTTGGAATGACCTACTTTATCGTTAATTGGCATTGCTGGCGGTCAGCCACAAAGAAGAGTCGAATGGTAAATACTAATGACTCTCCTCTCTTATTGAATAGAAGAACTGAACGAGGTAAAAGTTTAATTGCTTCGATTAAGATTCGAGACACGCCATATGGGACACGAAAATTGACTCGCGTTAATGCGACATTTTCATTTTGTCCTAATTGTAGTAACATGCCTCGATTTCCATTACATATCTATGAATTTCAACTTAACACGTTGATTGTTGCAGTGGAAGAAATTGTGTGTGGTCAGACATACTGAAATTGCGATTATTCGGAATAGGATTTTCTATTTTCCGAATTAAGCTTTTTATGTGATTGAAAATTTATTTGTTAAATTTTGCATTTGGTACTTTACACAATTAATATATTAATAGTACTTGGAATTGTCTTTAATTATTTTTCCATGCTTCAGGTTTTTGTTTATGAATAGCCCTTAGCATAAAATAATTAATTTTCAAATTTAAGTTTTCAAATTGCTATTTCATATCACTAATATAATAGCAATAATATTGAAAATTTATCTTTTTAATTATTCCATTATGAGGCTCCCTGGCAATCAACGTGTTAACACTTGTTACTTTAGCATTCGAAAATATTCATCTATTTAATTATAATCTGTTTTTCGTGAGAGTAATTCGTTAATATTACTGTAGTAATGTCAATATTTGGTATTCGCTTAGTGATTTAGATTTAAATCGTAGAGAGAGAAATATAGAAGAAATAAGTCTTCCTTTTTCTCAGTTAAATTTAATTTATCTTTCAAACGCACAGATTGCGTATCGCAAAAATACATTCGCTTCACTTAATTATCGTCTGTGATCAACGCTCAACTGTTACATATGCACTATCTGCAAATTAATCTTCTTTTCTTCTGAATCCCTCCATCTGATTCAACTTTTTGAAAAATATCGCGTGCAATAATTTGTCGATATTATTCCACCTCATTTTTAACACCCTCT